ATTGAGGTGAGGGCTTCGTTCTTGCATGCCTTCTTCTTTGTCTTGGGTGTGGGCTTGTTTGGACAAACTTCCACAAAGTTCCCCAACTCGCCGCATCCATAGCATCCTCTCTTTCTTTGCTCATTTCTTTGATTTGTGAAAATGAGATCTTGAATTTGGATGGGCACACCCTTGACATTGAGCCTTTGGATCATCTTCTCCACCTTGTTGATTAATTTGATTGATTCTTCATCAAGGTCGGAGGTGGAGGAGGAAGATTGATCATCACTTGAATCTTCATCATCATCATCATCGTCCTCATCTTCATCTTCACTTGAGGAGCTTGAGCTTGACCTTGTCTCAACGTGCTTGCCCTTCATCTTCTTTTTCTCGCTACATGCGAGAGCTTTGCCTTTGCTTGATGAAGAAGCTTCTTCTTGACCCATCTTCCGTGACATTTCAAATGCCACTAACTTGCCAATGACAATGCCCGGGGTCATGGTGCTCAAGTTCTCCATGTTGTGAAGGATGGTGATGATACTTGCATATTTCTTTTGTGGTAGCACGGAGATGATCTTCCTCACGATGTTCGCATCATCTAGCTTTATTAATCCTATTGAATGGAGCTCATTGATAATTAGATTCAAACGAGAGTACATATCACGAACAAGCTCATCATCATTTATTGTAAAGGAATCATAATTCTGTTTAGCTAGACAATGCTTTTGCTCACGGACATTACTTGTGCCGTCATGGAGCTCTTGGAGTTTTAACCAAATTTCATGTGCCGTATTTAAAGTAAATACTTGGTTAAACACTTCCATGCTAAATGATTCAAACAAGCAATTCTTAGCTCTAGCATTGAAATGCATTTCTTTTTCATCACTCTTTGTGGGTTTTTCAGGATTCTTGATGGGTTTCATCCCGTCACGAGTGACTCTCCAAACACCCAAATCAACCGCCTCAAGGTGGCAAGCCATTCTAGCCTTATAATAAGGGAAGTTAGTGCCGTCAAAGTGCGGAGGCCTAGAGGTATCCATCCCCATCACTCTAAATGGCGTCGGCTCAACGGCGATTAAGCCAAAGGTCAAAATTGAGCCAACCGGCTCTGATACCAATTGAAAGGACCGTGACACCTAAGAGGGGGGTGAATTAGGCAACTAAAACTTCTAACTCTAAACTATGGCCTCTTTTTCTACCCTTAGCAAAACCTATGCAAAAGATAAACTATCTAAATGTGCAACTATGGTTTTGCTAATGTGTTGCTATCTCTACCGCAAAAGGAGTAATGTAATTAATGTAAATGCGGAAGCTAAAGAGCAAGGTAGAGATATGCAAACTCCCGTCGACGACTCCGGTATTTTTACCGAGGTATCGAGAAGCGCGCAAGCTTCCCCCTAGTCCTCGTTGGAGCCCCTCGCAAGGGCCAAGCTTCCGGTCGGGTAACTCCGTGGATAGCCTCGGGCCTTCCCCACGCATAAGTGGGTCTCCGACGTGCCTTCCGGCAAGCCTCTCCCGGATGCTCCCTGTCGTCTTCACTATCAAGCTTCTAGCCGAAACGCCGTGGGCCTTGTTCCCTCCGGTACACGGTGGCGGCCACACCACAAACGCGGTTGGTGTGATCTCGCAAGACTACAAGCCCCTCCGATGTACAACAATGGTGCGCGCAAGCACCGAGCGGTAAGAGGTATGCAAACCTCACTAAACACTAGGCCTAAACCTAGAGCAAGCACATGAGCGGTGGTCTAATCAACCTAACCACTTCACAAAGCACCTACGCTAATCACCTGATGAATCACTAAGCACTATGCAAGTGGAGATCACTAAAATGGTGTATCAACACCCTTGATATGTTTCCTCAGCTCCACTCTACTCAAATGGCCGGTTGGGGGTTGTATTTATAAGACCCACTGAGAAAGTAGCCGTTGGGGTCGAATTCCTGCGAAACTGCTACTGACCGGACGCTGAATCATCCTGACCGGACGCGTCCGGTCGTCCCGACCATTGAGCCGGCAATATACTGATCGGACGCTGGCCAGCGTCCGGTCGCCTACCACCGGAAGTGTCTGGTCACAGATTTGGCGCTATGGAACCTTACTATACTCGATCGGACGCTACTGTCCTACGTTCGGTCGGTTGCCGCCAGCGTCCGGTCCAGTGTCCGGTCGCCTGTCTGCTGAGTCCTCTGCCCAGCGTCCGGTCGCTTGTCCAGCGTTCGGTCACCTCAATGAGCTCGTTTTTTTGCGATCTTGCGTACGGCTTGGTTCCAATCTTCGTGCTTGAACTTTGCTTGATATCTTGGGTCTTCTCTTGTGCTTCTAAGGTCTTTCTTAAGATGTTGATCATCAGATCACCACATCTCCTTCGTCCAAGTCACGTCTTGCACCCTATTGAACTACAAAATAAACACTTGCAAATTCATTAGTCTAATTTAGTTGTGTTGGTCATCAAACACCAAAATCCAAAGTAAATGGGCTAAGGGTCCATTTTCCTTACAAGTACAGATACAGAAATGATTTTTACAAATGTTACTATCCTTGAGGTGGCACGTCCTTCAGGAGTTCATTTTATAGATATAGTTTTTTTTATAGATATATCTGCTGGTGTAAAAGCTAGATGGCTTCCCCGAGAGACAACATGAATGAAGAAATGATGAATATTATCAACATCGGCACTCAATTTGCCAATGGTGACTAGCAGGATGTAGATGACGGGAGTCAATACCTGGCTCTTGAAGATAACCAAGAAAATATTGTGCAAGAAAATACTGGCGAGGTATATATATTTATATATATATATATTTGAATATTATATATATTTGAATATCTATCATCTATTAAAGTGTATATATATAAAGCTACATGTATATATATAAATTATATATCCTCACACTATATTTTTATATATGCAGATATGAGATGATAGAACTCAGAAAGAGACAGGATAATGATGTTGGTTTCGTTGATCCAAATGTCGTATTCAAACACCCTGATCCCCGCCTAGATGGAAAGCTGAACTCGAGAAAAATCTCATGAGGTTCTTAGTGAACCAACAAAACAAGGACATACTATTCCCCTACAACTTCAAGTGAGTGTTAAATAATTAATGTCGATCATATGGACATTTGTTCAATTATTTACTTACTAGCTAAGCTATCTCCCACATATACATATGTTTACTCTAGTTAATGTCGATCATATTTGTGTATAAAAACATATGCAGCAATCACTGGATATTGATGGTCATCGATATAGCCAATAGTCGGTTGAGCATCTTAGACTCGTTAAGAAAAGAGAAAACAGAGTACCAAGACATGATAGATATTATTCAAGGGTAATTTGGTCTCTCTAGCAACTATATATACCCCGATCTCTTAACTGCAACAATTATTAAAGGCCAAATTAATTTTTTATTTTATTGAGCGCAGTGTTTGGAAAAGTTTTATTGAGGAACACCACATGAAACATTGGAAAGCACCATTTGATGTAATCGCACACAAAGTAAGTACTAGCTACATTTATATATATATATATATATATATAATTAACACCATGCATGCTTTCAATTCATTGGATCTTTTTTCTCGTAAAAGTGGGTTCTGAGGCAAGAACAGGAGAACAACTACTGCGGATACTATGTTTGCGAGTTCATCATGGCGTACTCAAAAAGAACTCTTGAAGAGAACCTCAAAGTACGTTATATAAATATATTCATATATTTACAACTTCTTTTATTGCTCATATATATAAGTAATCACGTGACCAACACACACATATATATATATTAATACTTTTCCTTTAACTTTTATTGAAGACTCTATGGTTGAAGGAAAAAGTCATACGACGTGACCAACTGAAAGCAATTCTAAGAGACCATAGTAGGATTTCTTAATGACCAGGTCCTCAACCCCGTCGACGAGTTCTATAATGACGTCAACGAAACATGGAAGCCAAACCAGATGGAGTGAATTTGTTATCCCAAGGATATGATAGAATATACAATGCAAGCTTTATTTGTAATATATATATATATATATATATATATACATATTATATGTACATAAAATAACGTACAATATATGTATATGCATGTAATATATACGTTAGTTTCATACTTTAGTTTGTACAAAATGTTCGAACATTATAAACATGTAGAATACGTATATTATTAGCAGCATAGAATGCGTATTCGAAAACCTATTCGAAAACCAAAACGAATCATCAATTGAAAATAGAAACAAAAAAAAAGAAAAAAAAGGAAACCTTTAGTCCCGGTTGGTAATACCAACCGGGACTAAAGGGCCACCTCACGTGGCCAGGCCGGGAGGCCTCTTTAGTCCCGGTTGGTCTTACCAACCGGGATTAAAGGTCAAACCGGGACTAAAGGAGGGGCCCTTTAGTCCTGGATTGGTGCTCCCGGTTGGGAAACCGGGACTGAAGGGGTTTCCCAACTGGGAGTAAAGCCCGTTTCTGTACTAGTGTAAGGGGCAGTGTTACATGTTTTTATGGAATGTTTTTTTGGACAAACTTTAAACCTCAAAAAGTTATTTATAGAATGTTCATGCCTACTTCATTTAGCCCGTATTTATTTTGACTGTAAAAAGGTTATCGCAGCTCATTATTTGCATCCTCAAAAGGTTTCCACAAAGTAGAATTGTACTCGGTACTCCATCCATTTCAAATTATAAGACGTCTTAACTTTTCTAGATACATAATTTTTACTATGCACTTATAAATATACACTATGTCTTGATGTATGGTAAAAATAATTAACCTAAAAAAGGTTAAAATGTCTTATCCAAGATGAAGGGAGTAGAAAAATATGTGAAATGTCACCAAGTTCGTGAGCTAACTAAGTAACTTGGTTGGCACACAGGAAACTACATAAACAGATATATAAGAAATACCATCTCAGTCATAGTGAAAGATCCACACACACAAATTAAGTGCTTCGCTACATCCCGCCAGTACACAAGTTCGGATACAACAAATTACCTACTACCGAAACCTGGAGCATCATGTTCACACGTAACTACCAAACAAAACGCCGAGATCCAAACTGTCAGACTCAAAACGTGTTGCTTTTGCTTCCTCGTCACTTTCATCATCAGTGTACCATAAATTGCATGAAGCATCAGGTGAGCCTATTTCATATAGGTCAATGGCAGGGTGTCTCAGATCTTCCACTCCTTGGTTCTTGCATGCATAACATTGGCCTGGCGAAAAAAGCCAGGCAAAATGTATTAGAAAACTGTAAGTACATTCAGACATATATATTTCATATATGATACTGTACAGTTGCTATTACCATTTTCGTTTGGATCCAATGGATAGCATAAATAATATTTTTTCCTAAAAACCTCCTTCACTTCAGCAAAATACAGCTTCACCTTCCAATCAGCTGAATCTGGCATCTTCATCCTCACAGTGAAGTTATAATGATGGTACACCTTGTCATAGCTCTCCACATTAAAACACTGGTGCTGAAGTTCATCAAGGCGGTAGTCCTCCAGCTCCTGACAAAAAATCAACAGAGGGATATATTGTAAAAGTTGTAAAGGTTGAAATTTTAATTTGTATAAAACTATGCGTACCGCAAGATCTCGATTTATGTCAATGAGCTTCTTGAAACAGAGCATCACCTCCTCCTTCATCCAGGCTATTCCAGTCAGAATAGTTTCTTCCGCTGAAGCTTCATGCCTGAATCCACAACTAGTTTGAGACCAACGTCTTCCTCTATGGCGGGAATCAAAGTATCATAAAACCAATTCCAAACATCGATAGTTCTTTTGCATACATAAAAATTAATAAAGCTACACTAGAGGTATGACTCAAATAAAAGTTTGTAAGCACGACATGCACCAATTGTTTAGAAACTTCACTCTTGCTAAGTCTGGATGACTATAGGAGGGTAAAATACAAAAGTTAGGGTAAATGACACCATACATGAATACTATCAATATTCTCTCAAAATATTACCAGAGTACCAAATGCGTAGCAATAGCCGAACAACTTATTACTACCACAGCATTTGATTGTATGATATAGGGACAGTCATAGGCCCCAAGCCTATGATGTCCCACAGCATCCTACTCCTACGAGGATGGCGACATTACATAGGGCAGCTACCACCACTCTCCCACTCCACTACTATGAGGCTGATGATGGTGTCACATCCTTGCCTTCCAAGTCATTAGAAAGTTTGTTAAGCAAAAGTAAAAGAAAGGCTAAGCCCCTTCAGTTTTCTAACCTCTCAGCCTCCTCTCTCCCTCCCACCACTGCACTAGTTGTGCCAGCGCCTTCATGGTCACTAGCCTTATCCTTCCCTACCAGCAAACTTAGACCAGAATAACTAGCACTGCTTTAGCTATGCCAGACCAAATTCAAATCATGGGGCCTACTTGCCAACCTTTATTTTTATTTCAAGAAAAACGTAGCAAGACACTGAAATTATTTGAGAACATGGTTTGTGTTACTCTAAAAATATATTTAAAAAACTATTATGTAATCACAACAATGCAGCATATGGAAATTATTAAAGTCTAAAATTTCCATTTTACATATGACAGGAAGGCTTATTTCCTGATGAACATATAGAAAAAAAACAATATATGACTTAATAAAAACAATAAAACCTAGGGGAATTTCTTTTTGTTGAACAACAGCACAACACAAGAAAGCATTCTGTCATTTCATCAAGAACAAAGAAAAATACAGTAAGCAGGCGTACTCCCAAACAAATCAATACCAAATATCAGCAGATAGTGATGGAAATAAAATAGAAGGAAAAGCAGACCAAAACATTAGAACCTCTACCTTGATTCAGTTGGTACCATACTATGCCGAGGGTGAGCAGCTGCAACAGAAGCCTGTCCAGTAATAACATTGGGTAGCTGTGATTCTGTACCCAATTCAGCAGCACGGGCATTAAGAGTGGGATCCTCAACAGCCAGAATGTTATAAGAAGTTGCGCGGAGGTTCATACAAGGACGCGCATCTAAGTATTCCTTAACCATACTCTGCACATCCTTTGGGCTGAAGAAAAGCATGGTAATATTGTTAAAAGCCACCAACATATCAAATTTCAAATCGCAGCTGTAGACGAAAGGTCTTGGAATGCAAACTGAACTTTTGCTGACTGGTGATATTGAGCAAATGAACTCATTTCTACATAACAAATGAAAGCATGAATACAACAAATGAACACAAAAGGTTTTCACTGTCATGGCCACTTATACTGCTTACTCACCCTCATAAGTACTCCACTATGCACCTGACCATGCACATGCTAGAGGTGTTTGGAAAATAAAATAACTATTTTTTGCATATTACCGGTTTATATCTGAATTAGCAACTTCAAAAAACCATCATGTCCATAGCTTAGAATATTGACAGAGTAATTAATAGTGTATTAACATCGTGTGGTGCTACAGCTACTCACATGCTACTGTGTTGTTTACTTGCTTATGTTGTTTTGGTCCGTCTGTGTGTGTACCATAATTTTAGTGCCTCAACAAGGCTTCTTACTATTTCCAGTGTATTTCAGGCTTATATATAAAACACAAAAATGCCAGTATCGATAGAAAATAGTGATGACGTACATACTCCACATCTGAATATAGCTTGGGGCCTTCCTCCTTGACGTTTGGTACAGTTATAAAAAGGGGCGTAGACAGCACCATAGATAGTGATAGACCTTTTGGTCGGTTGAAAAAGAACTCAGTCTGTCCAGTAGTAGGAAACCTGCACAGGCAAGAAGACGCTTAGATAGAGTTACCAATGTATGTGCTCCTTGTTCATTCTTTGTAATGCATTAAAGCAAGACAATTTCATACCAAAAGAGTGTAATTTGTTGTCACATAATTTACTTCTTGTTATCTTTTTTACGTTATTAAACTCATATATCTACAGTTAACTTTTGTTTTTGAGGATTCTTGCCATTATGTACAGATAGAAAACATTAAATTTCAGCGTAGATAAACAAAGAGCAAAATATACTTACGATGCACAGTCATCATCAGTAGACTCTTCATCTGTTTCTGTTTGAGGGGGCAGAAGTTGGGGGTCACTTAATGACAGTGCCTCTTCCATAACTTCCCTATTAACCTCACTGCTGTTCACCACACAGGTATGCTCCTCTTGCCTGATAAAATAACATTTACAAAGGAACAATAATCATTAGAAAGAATATCCAGAAGAAGGTATTATGAATTTGCTACACAAGTCAGACAATAAACATGTATCTATATATAAAGGTAAACAGCAAGGCTGTCTGGGCTGGTCTGAATAGAGAACACTCTGCCCAACATGGGTTCCAGTTCCAGCCCCTTGAGCTACAGGATGACTACAAATTTTGAATCAGCACATGTAAGTATATTGACTAGTATAGCAATCTACAATCTTGTTCCATTGCCAAGAAAGGAAACGAACTATATTTATTGGAATCTTTTATACATGTGAAAAGATAATGAATTTGAGGGGCAGAAAAAAGTTTCCAGGCCAAAGATTCCAAAATCGCAAGGATAACAAATAAAACAGAGAAGCCCTGGTGTTGGGCTGGTGCTAAGGCATTACAGCAGCTCCTTTGTACGTCGCTGCCACCAGCTGCTTATGCTGCGATGGGTTTTTTTGTCGTGTTTTTTTTTCTTTGCAGCGAGTGGTCCTGTCGTTATTCTTTGGGAGTTGGTTTTGCTTCTCCTTTGTTTTTTTTGTTTTTTCTATACTTCCAGAGAAGCCCTTATGACAGCGCAGTTTGAGAAAAAAAAAAACAGAGAAGCCCTTATGACTTCAGATTACACAATACTTCCATACAGCTAGGGTCGAAAAATGCTCACTGGACAGCAGTTCTATGCAATTTCCTAGCCCTTGAAGCTAGTAAACATCAAAAGTACATGGATCCCTCAAAGAACCTCGGCTACATTTACGTCCCTACAAAGAACTTTTTGTTTTCTGTAGCTGTGATTTAATTGTGAAATGCTAGAAGGGTATGAAAAGTCAGCCTAGCTTGTAACTGATACGTATAGGACAAGATTGTTCATTTCTTGATCATTCTTTGTTCTCTGGATAGATACACATGGTGGTTGTCCTAGCATGCAAGTTGGATTGGTTCACAGAGCAAGTGATGACCTCTTGACCATAATGTGTTTAATGGTTTGCTGCTGACAAATAAAGCAGTACAAAAATATAACTAGGAAGACTGAAATGGTTCTGTTAAACAAAAACACATTTTTTAAACAGGCAAGCAATATCCACCATATCCCACCAATATAAAAAGGGAATCTTTTGGGGAGCAAGAAACAAATAGCAGTCCAAAATTTTGCTATGAATGCAATTTTTGGTTGTACAAACCACTGGTAGCACAATACATGCTTGCTTTTTGGGGTCCGAGGCAGTTTGCTAATTTAATTGGATAGTTTGAAATGATTCTCATAACAGATAAATGGCGCAACCATACAGCTACTTCTTGCATTATTCACATGGCTTGTCAACGAAAAAGCCAATGTCTATGGGAGCAAAAAATAGCAGAGTATTTTCCAGCACAATAACCTGGGAACGGGAACTAAGCACACGATCAGTTTTACAGTTCAGAGGTTAGAGCGATAACTTTTAGCAAAAAAAGTAATGAATATATGGATCTGTGTGTGCCATCTCTGCTCACTTTACAATTTGTACCATATGGCACCGACTTAAAGTGCTACCACAAGAAATTCGGCACTTTTCCTTAGTAGATTTAGATGGTGAATGGTGTGGGTCCCATCAAATTGCATATGGCCGAGGGCAACTGAATTTAAAAAGTGGAACATAAGAAAAGAACTCACTCAGAGCGAGGTGCATAATCAACATTAGTCATTTCAGCTGTTTCTGGGGTGGAAAGTGAAGGGTCGCTCAAAGACAGCGCTTCAAATGTTGGCAAATCCATAACCGGACTATGAAGCTCGCTGCTTCTCACCGCGCTAGCCTCAGCCCTGATTAAAAACATATTATAGGAAAGATCATAAATGCAAAGAACAGAGAGAAAAAAAGTATAAATTTGCTATGGAAACAAACACAAGCCAGGTATTAAACATATAATAAAGGTAAAAAAACAGCAACTTACCTTGCCAGTCTTCTTGGTCGAGAATGCCTTGGGCGGTCCGAATAGAGAACACTTTGTCGAACACGTATTCTACCTTCAGGTCCAGGATGACTATGAATGTTGGAATCAACAAACTTGGTTAGGTTTGTAACAGCAATCTACTATGTTGTTCGATGTTCATGGAATGCAATAAAGTATTGTTCATTAAATTCTACCCAATAAAAAAATAAAGCTTTAATTTTGAGGGGCAACGACAAAAGGTTTTGCAGCCAAGCACCAAAAAGATGCCAACACTTCTCAGCAATTTTAGTTGTACAAGTCTAAGAGCTTAGGAGTAGCACACCCTGCGTTTGGTTTCACTTTGAAGAGTGTTTCTACTGTCAAAGTAGAGAACACCAACTAAACAGTTGAAACATAAAGCTCTTTTTCGAAGCGAATTCTTTCGCGTAGCATAACTTTTGTACTTTTGCCTTTCAACTTTTCACCTTTTACAGATAGGTGGAAACTGACAAACATTTTATAGCTGTTTCAAGGCAAGGGGTAGGTTTCATAATTGTTTCAACCAAATAGCTTATGTCTTTAGAAGAGGATGCTGAGTTGGGAGACTCGCCTAGGCACATCAATGAATCTAGAGCGCTCCAAATTGAAGTTATGGGTGAGACGGATGCCTTAGGCATATTTCTTGGTCCCTTGTGAAAGAGAACCATATAGGTGAGCATATGGAAGGAGCCTAAGGCATGACGGGCTGTTTAGATGAGAGCCTGGCCTAGCAACTCAAACCCAGGCGTCCAAGATCCAACGCCTGGGAGTGTTGCCTGTGCCAAGCAGCTCTGCCCAACGCCCCAACTCTAAACCAAACAGGCCTAAGAGCACAAGCATTTGGGCATGTTCAAATGCACTTAAAGAGATAGGCTAACTAGGGTGTTAGCTAAATAGGTGTAGGCTGAGAGCATCTTCAAGATTATTGAGAGGCTAACCAGGGCGTTAGCTACATAGGTGTAGGCTGAGAGCATCTTAAAGAGTCTTTCTAAACTTACTTTTTAAATCATCATTTGAGAGTCATTAGATAAAAAATTATTTTCTATATCTTTGTACCCTCTAACAGCTTTTTTTGTCTCTTTTGCGCACTCCGAGTCATTATCGCTCTCCATCTTTAGCTGAATAGAAGATAGAGAGATCCAATTAAAATGGTGTCGTTGAAAGGTATTGTTTTACCAAAATCTCTATTCCTAGAGTCTTTTGAAGTTGCTCTGATAGGAAGGCTAATTTTTTTATCACACATGTTCTAGCCATTAGTCCATTAATTGAGGAAATAAACATATTCAGTTAATTTTAGCCAACTTATTATTAGCCCATATCATACCCTTAGGACTAGCTAGTCTCCAATTCAAAGGGGTTGAGACTTGAGAGGAGTTTAATTCCTTCTTACAAATTAAAATCTCCCTCAATCCGCTCTAATCCATTCAGATTTAAGACTAACCGAACAAATGCTTAATGTGTTGCCTAACGAAAGGATTGGACGCGCGGAGATGCATGATCAACCAAAAAAGGTTCCCCAATAATAAGAGACATATAGTATAATATCAGCTCTCTCAGAAATTAGATCTGTCATTACTTAGATTACATATGAGTTTATTTATTTATATCAATATATGTAGACCTTAAAGCCCTAGCACCGGCTAAGCGGAGGGGTTAATGTAGCACTCGTCACGACCAAGGTTAATTCTTTGCTAATACACGTTTTCAAACCTAAAGAAGCGAATTAAGTTAGGATACACTAGGAACAAGAGGGAAGAAACAAACAAAGCGAATTTGGTTAAGGAAGAAGCAAACAAATTAAAAGCAGGCACACTAGCTGGTTGATAATGGAACTTACCGTGGGTTAGATTTTTTGTCGATCCAGTGATGATGGACGGCGGCGGCTGGCCGCTACGGTCCTCCTTGAATCGTTGATAGTCTATGGCAGGGCGGCCGGCGAGCTTTGACGGCAAGCGATTCCAACCGGGAGGCGCACGATTCGATAGCGATGTGTGTCACCGGAACCTGTATATATACTTATTATTACTATAAATAGATCATCAAGCGATAATTGATGCAAGACGACATAAGGACGAAGACGTGTTCGAATTCGAATATACTCCATATACTTACAAATACATCATCTATATATGCATAAACAATGACGAAGGAGGTGGTGCACTCCAAATTCGACTCGGAATTGGCCCCACGTGTATACATAACTCAGAGTACAGAGATCTGATTTGTTTTCTAGTGTAATAAACCTCCGGTACAAGTATTTAATTTGGTTCAGAAACCAGCGGCGCACGGTTTGGCTAGACAGGGCCACATGTTGCACCCTCGCGGCCGTGTGGGAGCAGCTTTGCTAAAATATACAAAACGAAACAGCAGAAAAGAAAGAAAAAAACAAAAAAATCCCACTACCCTACTAGCCTTGACGAAGACTACTACAGTCATACCTGGGACTGCTTGGCTCCATGTGTTTTTAGCTCTATTTTACGTTTTTTGCCTGCTTCTCGATCGTGAACCACCCGCTTCATCTAGTGTGTCTGGGATCTCTACGAGGACATACATGGTGTCCGCAATGTTTTCCCTGCGCAGGGGAACATCAGGAGTAGGGCGCCCCGGCATAGTCAACATGTCACGCTAAACGGCTTTGGCTCGAGCACAACTAGGCTTGCCGCATTGTGGTCTAGCCCTATGCATTCACGTTCAAGCTCCCACCGTTCAACCTCGAGTCTAGTTCGCTTGGCCACGAGTCGTGCGGCCTTCTCCTCGAGGTATTGGTCCCGAATTGGGTGAGGGGGCATGCCCTCAAGGGTTGGGTAGGTAAGCTTCCCATTCTACCCCATCATGAAGCACTCGGTGCTCCAGGCGATAGCTCATGAGGTCCACGAAGTTGTCATCTAAGCCATCGCTCGAGAATGTGGTGGATCGAGTTCGCCTTGAATCCTATCATCCTGATGAGCGCATTTGAATTGTCGGACAAAGTGAGCTCATCCATTCCCTGCATAAGTACGACATGTCAGAATCAGTGCTCTGGGGGCAGATAGGTTCCCTTGGTAAGCTAGTGCTCGACGTTGCACTACTAGAGAACAGACTTTAGAACGATGTCCTAATTTAGCATTAGCCTCGGCATTTTTTGCCCCCGGGACTAAAGGTCCCTGCCCAACGGTCGTCCGCGGGGCAGGGATCTTTAGTCCCGGCTGGTATAGTCCCGGTTTGGGTTATTCCCCGGGAATAAAGATTAATATTTAGTCCCGGTTTGGACCCCTAACCGGGACTAATTATCCCGGCCTATAATTCTGCTCAATTCTTCCTCCCCGAGCCCGAGCCATTCCATTATTCAAACTCACTGCCTCTGTTCTTCAGCTTGCTGTTGTTCTTGCACTCTCCCCCTCCATTGGTGTTGCTCTTCGATTTTGGAGGTAACAAACTTAATCCTCTTATGTTTTATCAGTAGCTTATCTCATTTTGCAATGTAGATGCATGTGTAACTTTATATGTTGGACTTTATTATGATTTTATATGTCATTTTTAGCTCAAAATCACATGATGATTTGCATATATGTTTGGATAAACAAAAGTTAAATTAGTTCATCAAAATCACGCCTCGCTCGTCCTCGCTGGAGCACGCGCCATTCTCGTCCCCGGTGGCTTACGTGATCTTAGAATTAATTTTTCCATGAAATGAAAAACTTAGAAAATTGTTAGAAAATTGTAGAAAATCCGTACTAGTTGAACTTGCGGACCGTGTTCATCTCGGCGAGCATGTTCTCTGCCGAGCGGTAACGGACGTCAAGGAGGAGCTTTGATTCTACGAGGGAGAGCGGCAACGGTCGTGGAAGACCGTGTTCCCTTTCTCGTAGAATCGGAGCTCTTCCTTGGCCAAGTACGGTGCCGTCCGGTGGAGAAATGCTCGCCGAGATGATCACGTAAGCAAGGTCAACTAGTACGGATGGTTATTTATTGAAACATGTTTTTGAGCTATAATTTGATGGATATTTGAAAATATGAAATTTACACTAGTTTGCAAAAATAAGTATAGAAAGTAGATGACAACTGTTACTGGATCCTCGGCCTCTCGTTCGGTTGCGAAACGACTGAGGCCAGAACTCCCTCTCATTATCTGCGGCAAGTGTAAGGAAGATTGTGATGGAGTACCGAGTCAAGAGACAGGGACCCAACAAGGGTCGTGTTTTCTACAAGTGCCCGGATCGCGATGTGAGTTTCTTACGCATTTTATAATTATGGCTAATTGACCTGCTTTTCTTGAATATTTTTGACTAAATATTTTTTGGCTTTAATTTCAGTGGGAGGGCAATGGATGCGATGGTTGGTACTGGGAGGAAGATTATGCTACATACGTGCAGAATTTGGGTGCGCTTGAGGTAGCGGATGCTGCTGATGAGGCAGTGAGCCAGCAGGAGAAGCTTATTGATATTCAACAGAAGAATGATTTGTCTGTTTTAGTTGCGTACGATCACAAAATAATTATGTTACTGAAGTGCATTGTAGTTTTAGTTTGTTTAGTGATAGTTGGGATTGCTTACGTTGTAGCCAGGCTTAGTTAATTAATCAACCGTGTGTGTGTCATTTATGTTGTGTAATAAAATACTTAATTATGTTCAAGGTTTTCATAATTTGTCGTGTAATACGGATTATGTCACGCCATTGGATGTACAATGTCGATCGCCGCTCCCAAGACTTTATAGAGGGCTTGCACTATTTCTTAGGTGTGGCCGAGGCAAATAAGCGGGATGGTTTCATATGCTGTCCATGTGCCCTATGTAAGAATTTAAAGGAATATTCAAGCTCAATGAGTCTTCATTCACATTTGCTTAAGTCAGGTTTCATGTCAAACTATATATGTTGGACTAAGCATGGAGAAAGCGGGGTCATGATGGAAGAAGGTGAAGGAGAAGATTTAGACATTGATGACATTATTGCTCAGTATGGTGCTTTTGATGATACTACAATGGGGGGAGATGAAGAAGAGGTAGCGGTAGAAGATGATCTCGGTGATGCTCTTGGCGATGCCATTCGTGATGCACAACAAGAATGGGAAAGTGAAAAAGAGAAAGTTAAGTTGG